CCAGTCTGGTCTATATAGTGAATCCAGGCCAGCCAGGGCTACATAGCGAGACCCTGAATCAATCAATACCAAGTTACTACTATTTGAATTACCTTGAAAATAAATATTTTATTTATTTTTATGTATGTATTTATTTGGTCTTTTTGAGACAGGTTGTCCCTGTAGCCCCAGCTGGCCTGGAGCTCACTATGTAGACCAGGCTGGCCTCAAACTCACAGAGATTCTCCTGCCTCTGCCTCTCAAGTGCTGGGGTTAAAGGGCACCACCACATCTGGCTTATTATTTTTATTTTTATGTGTATATGTGTATTGCCTGCATGTAGGTAAGTGCATCTGTGCTGTGCAATACCTAAGCATCCAGTGCTCTTAACCTCTGAGCCATCTCTCCATGCCCGAAAATAACTATTTTTTTAAAAATAGAAAAAAAAGAACTAGAAGAAAGTTAAAAGCAATACAGTCTCAAGGAGAAAAAGGAGAAAATCCACACTTTTAAACAATAGTAGTATTGTGGCTCTCCTTTAAGATCTGTTGTCTCTTTCTAATCTTCCTTTAGAAGAAATCTGCTCAAAGCACACACAGAATCCTTATCTTTTGCTACGTATGGTTTTGATATAATGCAGCTTTACATTTATATACTTAAAAATTTAAAATAACAGTCCTATATGCTCTGGTTCAGTTCAGTCTAATATAGTAATACACACACACACACACACACAGAGAGAGACGCACACACACACGCACACACAGGAATTATATAGGACAATATGTGACATAAACTACAGATTCAAAATAAGAATGACTGGGACCAGAAGAATGTGTAGATGCCGTGACAATTTATGAAAAGATCAGGTAACTACTTAAGCAGATATTGCATTACTAAAATGTAGGAGAAACAAATTTAAAATGTGTTACATTTCATGTCAGTAAAGGTTGGTTTGAACTTTTTTCTAAACAAACAGAATTTGAACATCAGTGTGAATGTTTTTCTAATGTTTTACTTTCAATATTTCTTAAAAGATTCATTTTTATTTTATATGTATGAGCATTTTGCCTACATGTATGAAACTGACCACATGCATGCAATGCCCATGGAGGCCAGAAGAGGGTGTCAGATCCCCTGGAACTGGAGCTCCAGATGCTTGTGAGCTGCCATGTGGGTGCTGGGAACCAAACCCAGATCTCTCTGCAAAGGAAGCCAGTGCTTTTAACTGCTGAGCCATCTCTCCAGCCCCTACTTTGATTATTAAGATTTCTCTCCTCTCCTCCCCTCCCC